GATTTTGCTGTCCTGATGCATTAATATCATTAGGGGGCAGAGATGAAGGGGCTTCCTGCGCCTGAAACGTGCAACTGTTCAGAGTTTAGTAGCTTGACATTGTTTCCATGCCTACCTTTTCCTCCAGAGAATCAGCAGAAGATGGAGCAAATTCCCCTTGAAAAGCAGTTAAAATGATGCTAATTTTAACGGTATCAGGGGAAAGTCCTTACCTTTTTTTTTTTTTTAATGGACAAATAGATGTGGCAGGTCTATTCTTGAATTCCAATCTTGCCTTCAACAATCTTTTATGGCCTGCAAGACATCCTTGTTTGCTGTTCTGTCTGAAAGGGCACCCCCTGAGTTTTGCAGGGTTTAGCATTACATAGATACCAAGAATTGCACCTGGGAGTGGAGGAGATGGGGGAAACGGGCACTTGAGTTTATTTCTAAAGTATTGGTATGATCTAGAAACAGTTGGATGTGGATTTAGCATATAGCGAAAACTGCACCCTGTTCCCAACATTAATAAAACACTTGGCCAACAACATTTTGACTTCCAAGGGTGCTGAGTGAGTTTGACCAGAAGGTGCCATCAGCTGTCTAAAGTGCAGCTTTATCATGCTGGCAGAGAAAGGGGGGAGAAAAACAACCAAATGGACCAGCCCTTCCCTCCCAAAAAACCCCACACTGAAGATCTTTTTCCTCCTTATAGTTACTTTCGAGAAGAGGACTGAGTTCTGGAACTTCAAATGTCAAAGGTAGGTGTTATGTCATTTCTTGGAAACATACTACACCTCAGTGTGTTACCATAACAGTGTCTGGGTAGAAGTCCGTGGGTTGGTACATCTTGTCCTTCTGACTTCTTGTGGGACATGAACAAATTACCAAAAAAAAAAAAGCTACTAGTGCATCCTTGCAGAAAAAATTCAGTATTTTTTAATATTTTTTTCTGAAAAACCTCTACTTCAGGTGGAGTGCTTTCCTAGTGCAATAATTGTTTAAGACTGCTTACATAATCTTCTGATTAACTTTTTTTTCACCTCTTCAAACTACCTTTCTTGGCTCCCATAGTGCATCCTTTTGCATCCTTCTCAGTCAGAACAAGACACTTTATTGAGATCTTACACTTTTTACGTATATTGGAGTGCCTGAGTTTATCAAAACAGGCTCTTGTATTACTGCAGTCTGGCATAAAACACTACTGAAAAAATGCTTGTGTCACAGATGTGCAAGGTAATTGTGTTTTAGGCATAATGAATAAAGAAATAAAAAGATTAATTTCAGTAATCCAAGCAAAAAAATTCCTTCTAACTTTCAGTAACTGCAGCAGTGCAATGTCTTGCCCTGTTTCCCAAGACAAGATCTGCTGGTAACACAGCAGACAAAAAGCAAAAATATAATTGAGCACAATGGGACTTTTTAGTTGGTTTCTGCTGTGTTTATGTGCTAGCGTGATGGCAAAGGAACTTGACCTTCAAGGCAGTGAGCTGCTAGGGAGCACAGGTATCAATATATGCTAATAGCTCTGTGTGTCACTGCCCTTTCTTGGGTGATGTGGGGCACATGAGTCTCTGCTGTGCCAGCATTAATAAAACAAGCAGTGAGAGAAGCTGTGGCTACACATAGACGGTATTGTGAAACTCTGAGAGACTTTGCAGTGACTAATAGCTTCACAAAATCTGGCTGTGCTAAATGGTGGAAAGTGTCCTCATTAAATGGGCATTATGAGGGCCAAAGGTGCCATTAACCAGGCGGGTAGCTGCTGGCTGCAAAATGAGCCATTTAATTGTGAAAAGTCACTGCCCACCAACAGTGGCTTTGGAAAAGAATGCTAAATAAGGTTATTGGGGATATGGTTATGCGAAAAGGCATGCCTTAAGATGTGACTCTTCTATTTAATTTTCCTGACATCTTTTAACCCTGATTTGAGTTTTTTCATCAGACTTCACTCACATCGGGGTCCTGTAGGGGTAGTGAGTACCTAATGAGTCTCTCTTTAGAACTTTACTGTGTGCAGCATAGGATAGTTACTAAAATTTTCCTAATAGCATTTGCTGCTAACCATCTTCCCAAGACTGAGCAGCAATCCCAGGCTATGAATATTGCTTTACTGAAAGAACTGCCTGGCTTTCAGCTGTGGAAAAGATGAATATTTTGTATTAAAGTGGTTTGAGAGAAACTAAAAACCTTTTTGCACATTAACTTAGCCCTTCACCATTTAGAACTGGGTTATGACATGGTTTTGAATGCTGGAAGAAGCACAGCTTTTCTTTGCACTGTTAATAGCTTGCCCCTCTGCACTGAGGTTGGCAAATTCAACTTTGATTTTTAGGGAGCCTAAGAGTGAAAGAGTAACCAAGAGCAGGCTCCAGCTATCATGCTGATAAATTATCCCTTTCCCAGACTTACCAGAGTGCACTGTGCATAGCTGGAAGCTTTTTTTAAAAAAAAACACTCATTAAAAAATTACTACTTTTTTTTTTAAACACTCACTGCAGTGAATACAGCCAGTGCGATTTAAGGTGTTCCTGTGGTTCTGAAGTAAACTGCTTTTCTCGTTTCCCTGTGAATCATGGTAATCAAGCCCAGCTAATGACTTCCCTAAAATTTCATTTCATTTTATGAAGCTTTTTTAATTTCCCTGTCCTGACTAGCTGCAGTGCCTTAGCTCAGATATTGTACCACTGTGAACAGCAGGAGTCTGGCTGGCATGGATTAGTTAGCTTCTTAGTATTGACATTTATTATGAACTTGTACTGACTGTATTTGAAGTTGTCTAACATCCTGGGCCTTTTTTTTTTATTTGCAGATCATGAGTTTTAGAATTCCTAGCAATTATAGCTACAGCGAAAGAAATTGTTTAGCGGTGTCTGCATTTGAAGATTCCTAAAGGTTCATCTTTTTTCATGCATGGGTTCGAGCACACTACAGTGAAAGTGCATGCAATGCTGCTTGTGGTTCTGAATGTTTGCTGCAACATGTGTACTCAAGTGTCAGTTTAAAAAAAAATTTGTTCTGCTCCAAGTGTCCTTTTTGTTTTTGCTCTACGTCTGTTGAATAGCCTTAAGCGTTGTAATCTTGCCCTTCTCCCAGTCATCTCATCGTATATGCTGTTTCCACAGGCTTATTGTAAAGCACTGTTTTTTCAATCTATGATTAAGGACTTGAAAAAAAAACCAACACCCAAACTAAATAAAGATGTACAGTAAGTCTGCAATTATTATGCTTGTATATTTGGAGCACCTTTTAGTCATTTTTCTCCCATATTGTAGTGTAGCTCATAAACCAAAACACATGTCTGAAAACACTTGTGCTTTCTATTAAGTGAAGGACAAAACTCTACTTTTGGAGTCCTGTGTGACTCCTGAGGGTGTCCACTGGGGTGTGCAGATCAGTAACATCATAATGTGACAGTCAGAGGTGTCTTTATTTGAATAAAGCTCTCTTGGTTAGTTCTTTAAAGTACAGGGGCTGTCTGTCTTCTTGAATGTTGTCTTTCATCATAAATGTTTAAAGAGATTCTGATACAGGGGTAAGAGCAAGGAACATGGTTGTTTTCCTCCACTTTTCTAGGTGCTTACCTGCTGCTTTATCTAATACTGCTTTTGGCGAAGGGTGCAGTGGGGATTAAGTGCAGCAGGAATGCCACTTTCTGGACAAAATTTACTAATAGATTTTACACGCAGAGAGGTGGGTGAAGAATTACTTGGCTGAAACTCTGAGGAGAGGATTTGGCATCGTTATTGGGTTCCTTTTTCTAATAGCAGAAGAAAACCAATTTGTCAGTGGAGCTGGTTGCCATGGGTATGCAGGATGATAGAGAAGGAGCTGGGGTGGCAGCCTGGAGCCTCATTACCCAATTCCAGCCTTTGCCCTCCACCAGAGGCTCCCATGCAGGCAAACCTGCACGTACCAGTGCCTTGACCTGCTTTGCAGTGTTCATACTGAATTAAGGATTACTCCAAGGAGCTGAGGAACTTGCCACCCTTCAAACAGAAACCTTACAAATGCTCAACCTTACCACAGATGAGTTACTTGCAAAGCCAACTCCCCTGCGGGAAGCGAGCTACACTGGCTCTGTGCTAGATTTAGAGCACTGTTGACACCAAAACATTTCCACCATAAATAATAGTGAGAGGTAATGATGATCCTATAGAACTACTAGAAGGAAATACTGGTATCTCTCCTCCAAAGGCCTCATAAATTTGCAGCCGTGACACTACCACTGCCTTCACAGGCTGTAGATAGTCAGAGGCATTTTTTTTCTCTGTGACTGTACTTCACATACACACTCCACGAAGCAATTGTTGGCAAGAGCACCGGCATATGGTCCATCAGCAGGAATATGACTGTGCTGGGAACAGAGCAAGCTTGGGGTAGTTGACAAACTCTTCCTCTCTACCTGTACGCTATAACCAAGAATTTTAAAGGAAGGACTGTAGAGACCTGTCTTGAAACCTGCTGAAAGCTTGCTAGGAAATTTTAATTAATTAAATTAATCTGGCATTAGTCTTTAACCTCTGCAGTGCAAGCCCAGCTTAGTTTCAGGAGAATTAAACCGAGAGGTTGGCTTACCCCTGCTCTGAGCATTGTGGGCAGTAACACACAGAGCACATACGGTAACTGGTCAGGATTGTTCATGTTATAGCCCTTTTCCTTTAAGCTATTTTTGGCCTTAGATGCTTCCAAAGCCCAACGCATGACGGGGATGGCCTGTGCTGCCAGTTCAGCCTGCGGGCAGGAGCAGCTGGGTGGGAGCCTCACACAAGCCATCGCATCGCTGCCTGGGGTCAGGCACTTAAAAAAGGAATGAAATAATTGCCAGGATTCTCTGCTGTGGAAAAGACAGCTTATCTGCTTCCTAAGTTACAGCTGGATCTGATGGCGGATGACTCAGACACTAAAGGAAAGAGACTTCTGAATAGGGAAATCTACCTCTTTCCTCTTTTTTAAATCACAAGCAAGCTGGTACTTAAAAGGCTGCTGTTTGGCTATTGATGTACTGGTGTGATTCACGTAAAAGCTATTTATTTACATCGGAGACGTTCATCAAAAGAAGAGGTGACAAGTACAGCATGAATGATTCATTCTCGTCTCTCTGCACTGCTTTCCTGTTCATCAAGAAACAGTTAGATGCATCCAGCTGGGCTCCGCTTCCTTATCGCTTTCCTGTGCCATCTTCTTCCCCCAAGCCCGTTCAGCCCGGCTCCTGGTGTCCCAGCTCTGCAGCACGCTCTTGCTGACTGTATCGATGATCCTGCTGGGCGGTGGAAGTCATGATGGTTGGTTTTCCATGAAGGAGAAGGGGCTGCAGCTATGCTGAACTCCCTCTGCAGGGTGTATTTTTCCTGTGGGGGAGACGATGGAGAAACAGGCCTTTGACCCTTGGACTTTACTCCAAGATTGCAGGTTCTAAATTCCAGGGCCATGATTCCCCCGTTAGGAATATTTGGTGTTTGAAATCTTCTTCCAGAGCAAGGTCTTGAGGTTGTTCAGCACGAGGGAGTGGTGCACTTCCATCTGGCTGGCCAGGCCACTGAGGGTCATGCAAGTTCGGAGCTGCTTCTGCAGCTCTTCTTTCAGCTCCGGCGGTGCTCCGTACAGCAGGTAGTCCTGCAGCAACCCGCAGACCTTCGCCAGGTTGGGCTGCACCACGTCACTTTTGCATTGCTTCATGAGTTTGTCGCACGTCGCCATACAGTCCTTCCCGTAGGTGCAGTCCATGTTCTGCTCACAGTGACGTCCCTTGAGGAAACCTCTGATTGTCATCTCCGTTGCCACCTTCCTCAGGTTGACCATTTTGAAGTCATACTTGTCGTTGTAGCCCACGTTCTTAAAGCTGGTCTCGCAGATGTAGAAGTTCCCATAGGTCCCGTGGAATATCTCCTCCACGAACTCCAGAAGGCCGATGGCGATCTTTGCCCTCCGGGGCCACGCTGGTGCAAACCACTGGTGGATGATTTGGTGGACGACTGAAGGCAGAAGCGACTGGAGGAAGGGGGGGACATCCACTCCGTAGAGGGAGGTGTGGGGGATCTTCTCAGTGACGTAGAGGTCCCCGCAGTGCCCCAGCAGTTTGGAAGTATGCTCTTTCTCGTGCAAGGAGAGCATGAGAAGAAACTCATTGAGCTGAAGTAGCGCCCAGATGGATTTGGCCTCTGCTAAAGACACTTTCCCATCCCGGTTCACATCTGCCATGGCAATGATCCGGCTCACCAAGGCTGCAAGAGAAGGCTGGTCTCCCAAGTTGGACTGTGAACAGAACAACAAGTGGCATCAGACCTTTGCAGCTCTCCGTGTCCAGGCTTCGATCACAAAACTGAACTGGGGAAGCAAAGAACTGAGCTTTGGAGAGGAGGAAACAGCCACCGTGCGCAAGCAAATTCGGTGCCATGCCATAGCGTACGGTTGGATGGATTGAGCTCCAGCAGAGTTTTACCAGCCTCAGGGCTGCTCTGGACCTGGGTGGGAGCAAGCTTTGGAGAGCAAAGGCTGGCGGCACTGCTGTCCCACCGAGGCGGCAGAGGCCCTGGGCAGGGGTAGCTGCTGCAGCCGTGCCGGCACTGCCGGGGCCGCCCATGGGCTTGTGAATAAGCTCTGCCCAGCACAGATGCCACCCGCAGCCATGGCACAGCGGCCTCCAGGGTTGCTGCTACTAAAATCTTGCAAATAAGAATTCCTGTGTGAGAAGGGAGGTTTTTCTTGGCTAATCCAGTACTTGCTCTGCAGTATATGGTAAGGAGCCCTGCCCAGCGCCCAGCAGCTGATGGGGGAGCACGGGCCGGAGGAGCTCTCATTTCAGGGGAAGGAAAGGTGCGTTTAGTCTTTCTGAATCACAAGTGACATCCCAGGCCCACAAGATCCCTGAGGCAACCTCCGCACTGACCTTTAGGAAGTTCAGAAGCATTTCTTTGAACTCATCCATCGATGTGCCTCGTGTCGGTTTGTCAAAGAGGACCACGTCCCTCCTGGGCACAGAGTCTGGGTGGCTGTCTGCCTTCAAGGCTTCTTCGATCCCACATTTGATGATCACCTCCCTCTCCCTCCAGAGCCCACTGTAAACCTACAGCAAAGGAGAGGGGACATGGTGGAGACAAGAGGAAAACACTGGCAAGTGCAGAGAACTGGTTTCTGGTTCCGTTCAGGACAGGTACCAGGGATGGGGTGAGGAGCAGACATGCGGGTGGGTGGAGAAGGACATTTCCCGGGTTTGATGTTTCCACCCATCCCCTGCCGTGCGGTGGTCTCCCGGGGGGCAGAGACCTACCTGCTGGGTTGGAGAGGAGGAGAGGCAGTGCTGGAAGAGGAGGCTGCGCTCCTCACACAGATCTTTGCACGTGGAGCCAGAAATTATTCCTTTCTTGTACTGGTCACACTGGGGAGGGGAAGGCAGAGAGAGGAGCTCAGCAGGGGCAGCTCCCCGTTTGCCCAAAGAAGTCCGACGGATCTGGGCTCAGCCCCACAGCTGGTGATCTGGGGCCCCCCAAGCACACGAGCTGGGGGCGTGTGAGCCCCCCAGCCTCCCATGCTGCCGCCAGCCCTGCGCCCGTCACCTGCCGTGCCCACGGTCCTCACCCCCTGCTCCTGCAGCAGGGCTGGCGCCGGCACTTTGAGTTTTCAATTTACAGCGTCATCAATGCCATCGTTGGTCATCAATCACCATGCTCCCCATCGGTGAGCCCCGAGTTCACGTGAGTCTCTTATACAAGAGAAAAACACCCCTTAAAAGAGGCACATCTGATTGCAAAGCCACGCAGGCTGTTTGGAGGCAAGAACACTACCTCCAATGGCCAAGAATTTCTTTTTTTCCTGGGATTTTGAGGTTCTCAAGCACAAAAGGGCTGCTCTGGGTCACCACCCCAGCATCGCTTTGGCCTTGCATTTGGCAGCCTGCGAGGTGCTATCAGCCACGGGGGGACCTCGGCCGTGCCAGCACGGTGGGCAGGTGGCTTCAGGGGACGGGCGCA